CGGAAACGAAACATTCTTTTGAGCTGAACATTTCAGAGTGTTCTACTCACAAAGAGACCTGTCGATGGGCAAAATTTCAGGTCAAAATACTGATATTCGATTCGTTGATATATACTATGCCAGAGGCTAAGATTTCAAAAAAATGGCTATAACTTTGGACAGAAGGCCTATCCAGTCTTATCCTTTTGGAGTTTATCATACCACACTGGAGTCTACATGACACACATAGTTCTGACTTAAAAGCAATTGAACACTTGGTGACCTTCCCTCGTAAGAATGAGTTATACCATATTTTCGTTACGGAATCACAATCAAAAATGGACTACTTTTAAAGTCTAAATATTTTTCTTCGGAAACAACAAATACCTGGATGTCTTCTTATAGTTAAAGAACGTACTCAACATAGTTCTAAAAGACGTGATCGACTTTGAAAAATAAAGTTTCTAGCACGCGAAGCGAATTAAAATTTAAAAAGACAAATTTTAATAGATGAGTGGGAATCGCTAATTTAAATAATATATCTTTGAAGACGATAGAACGTTTGGTTACTTTGCGTAATAAAAACGATATCTTCTTCAGGAAGATGTAGAGTTCGCTAGCTTTTTCCTATGCAAAATGATATCTTGCTCAGGAAGATGTACAGTATGGTATTTTTTTGTTGCAAAGAGCAAATATGCACCATGTTGAGTGATCTATATTAATGAAGGTATTTGCAACGATATGGAATTTTGTTAAATTTTACGTAAAGAGGAAGATTTTTGTGTTGTTCATGCGTCTGTGTTCAAGCAGCAATATTAACTTTAACTTAGGTGTAGATGTACCGAGTGAATTCAATTGTTAAAAATAGTGTATCTGTTGAAAAAAGCGTTTTAGGAATTTCTCTAGATTATATTTCGTGATATATTAGCACTGCTTCAAGATTTGTGCCAGAGTATATGTATGTTATATGGTTATTATGTTCGCAATTGTTATTGAGATTCGTTTGTAAATGTATGACCGTTAGTTTCTCTGATAGCTCGAAAGAGTATTAATTGAAATCAAAAATAAATTATGCGTATATAGTTTGTGGTTAATAAAAATGAAGAAGTTCAATAGAATTGTATTAAGGTATGTTTATGAGTATTAATTGTTTCATAATCTATTATATGTAAAATATATAAGTTTAATAGAATATTAAAATGCTGGTTTACCGTGATAATGATTTATTTTCCCATTTCTCATTCGAATTGTTTTATTGACGACCTGTTCAGGTACTTCTGCAATCTATGTAAGAAAATTATTGTGAATAATGTTGATCGAAGTACTTCTGTTTTAATATTTACCTTTTCATTCCATATTGTTATGTTAATTGTACCGGTATCGTCTTTTATTTTTAATGAACGTCGACTGTAAGATTGACCATTAGAATGAGAGATATTTGTTGTTATGTCGTTGTCGAATAAAACTACACCTTCTACATCTATTACGAAAGAGGATTATTATGTTTTTAGCATTCACAATAGGAATAGATAGGAAAGTAATAAAACAACATCATAATCAAATTTTCTAATGTATGCGAGCTGATATTGAATATGGTTATTGATTTACTCTCATAGATTTTTTTTTATATTAGGTTGAGAAGAAAATATTAGTATGTGTGCAATTAAGAATCATTCTGTATGTAAAATTTTTAAAATCTCTTTCAACCTTTTAATTTAGATGATTAGTATTATGAATGATATTATCTTAGTTATAGTAAGGCGACGATTTCGAGGCTTAGATATACCAACATATGAACCGTGTAAAATGCTATATATATATTGCGAATATCTTGCTTTTTAATTAATCTGACAGGATTGAATGATATTGATTTATATGTATTGATGATAGTAGTAGGTGTTAATCGAATTTCATATAAAGAATAAGGTGAAGAAAACTTTTGGTTAGCTATTCGTACATCGCCGTTTTGTATGCTTATGGTCTGAAGAGAGATTTCATTTTATTTTTTTGATCATTCATTTTACTACCTGATTTAGCACTATGGTGTTGTTAAAACGATCAGCTTCGTCATTGAACGCTACAATTTTTATCTCTCCACTTAAATCGGATACTAGAGCATCAAACGCCTTGCCGTTTGTTGAGAAATGTCATCATGCACTCTTATAAATTACTTTACAATGTATGTTCAATCTAACAAAAAAGTAGGAATAGAAGGAAAAAAATATATATCATTACTATGTAATGTTTCGATCAATATCAGCAATATCTGTATATATATTGTTGGTCACTGGAAAAAAATGATAAATGAATGCTGTAAAAGAATTATACTATATTAAACTATTTTTCGTAGACACTTCACTTTGAACGAGTTTTGTTGGTTCATTATTAACTTCATTGGCATTTGTATTAGATGTTGTTAATATCGATTCTGAATGAGAGATTAAAAGTTTAATTAAGCAAGTACGTCCTTGTAATGATATTCATATTATAAAAAACAATTATCATCATTATTTTCAGCGTCATTGGATTCATTGTTACTGTTTGTTATTGAGTTAGACGGATGTTGATCGTTTTCTTGTAATTCAGGTGAAGCATTGATGTTATCGATTTCTGTATCTTCTGTGTTGTTATTGTTGAAATGACGTAAATATGATAAAATATCATTTGTTCTGATAATTTTGTATGAATCATCCGGAGTACCTAAATGAACATCTAATGAATGCAATATAACAAAGTGTTCCATAAATGATATGATTATTTTTCATAATCGTAACAGATGGAAATTAAATGAATAGTAATAAATATTTACCTGGTAATAATTGATTAGTTGTTAGTATATGATTTGCTCTTATACTTGTTTCAGAATCCGATGATTATACTAAAAATGATGATTCAGAAATCGAATTAATGGTAATAGCAAGTCATTCATTCTAGCCAGCTCGATTATTATTTGACTTAAAGATCGTTGTACGTTTTTTTTCTTTATTTGAAGGCAAAACAGATTAGAACGATAACGGTATGTAGTAGATGTTTATTATGATTGAGCGCCTACGCAAATAATGAGATTATGCTTATTAATCCGTAATAGAAATTAGAAATCATTGGTTCGTATGCGCAATCATAATAGTATATATTCACTGATAATTATATAGATCGAACTGAGATTCTACATTCTTAATTTATTTTTATATTTAGGAACGAAGCAAAATTTGCGATTAGCAATTGCATTACAGTCGTTTATAGTTAGTATCAATATTCCTATAAGTGAATTACATATTGAATAATAAAAGTCTGCAATAAACATAATTGTGATGATTATATTCCTTACACGTTATAATATAACATCTAGTGGCTAAATATGACACAAAAGATAGTTTGAGCTATTACTTATATATTTATGGAGTATAGATATGATAGATCTTGGCTTTAGTTCCAATATATAAAAGAAAAGAAAATGTTTTTTTTAATTATGTTTTTATTTATGATTTAAAACAATTTATTATTATATGTGACATTTCTATGTTCATTGTTAAAATTTTCGTAAAACTAAAACAATGTCAAAACATTTATTTAGTATAGAGCTTTTATAATTATATTGGCAATTTTATTATTTAAAAAACTGATCGAATGATCTTTAACTTAATTCAGTTTAATACAATAACATATTTAGGATTCATCCATTGTTAAATTATCTTGATATTGTATTTCATTTAATGAAGTAATGTCGTTCTCTTCAGCTAAATCAACGTCTTGTACAAATATATCTAAAATTAAATCCGTTCTTATCAATAGATTTTATATACTGAATATACCTACTGTTATTGTTTTGTGACTTGCGTATGATAGTATTATGAATATGTCGTTCGCTGCGTTGGTATTCCTAAATATATATTTTAGTACTTTTGGTGCATTTAAAAACAAATATTGGTTAAGTGTTATTGTTTCATTATATACAGTAAGTACTGTTTCTTTAAATACTATTTTTTTGGGCAACATCTTACTGGATGAATTAATTTTGATGAAATGTGACAGTTGTTACTTGTAACTTGCTGATTTGGTATTGTTCCTAAACTCGGTATAGTATTGTTTGATAATGATGCATTATAAGATTGTCTTGTTGTTGTTGTTGTTGCAGAAGTTTGATATTGTTTGAGTAAGGAAATTTCATGAGAAGTTCAGTACCAATGGTAATTAATTGCGATGGAATTTGTACGCCAATTGATCGAGACACTTCAATATAATCAGATACTTGAATATTATAAATGCGCAGCTTTTTTGATAATTTTTCTCGTTCATCGTCATTTGTTGGCAAAACTTTAGCATAGCATAGAATAGGCCGATGAGTATTCGTAATGATAAAATAATCTTTCAATAATAAACCTTCAATAACCAATGCTTCGAAAGATTGAGCCCCTGTATTTCGATCTATTTTGCTATTATCTAAAACAGATATCATAATTATGGGATTAATACATTCGTTTATAGTATTAGTTAAAGTTGTTGATTCAAAAATCAAGTGTGTCGATTGAATGTTTGTTAGTAGTATTGAGTCAAGACAATCAACGTATTAGTGTAAACGTGAATACTTTTATTTTTTATTTATTTAAATTGAGAATTTATACGGTAATGAATGCATGTGTTCTAATACTCTTGTCGACAGTGCAACCTGATACGGCATATAGTTCAGAGTTATTTTCATCTTTAAGTAGAATCTGTTGTTTTCTGAATAATGTGAAATAAATTTGTAGAATTAGTTCTCAAATAGTCTAGCGGTGATTGATGCTAAAGTATTAGAACCTGTTAATAATCCATATAGGAACAGTATGTTGGTCGATAATAATCAAAATTTGAATACGTCTACTATAGTTCGTGATTTGAATGAATTAATTGGCAATGCTAATACAGATTAACATTTAAAAAAAAAGCTATCTAACAGGATAGGCTGGGGTGTGGGTGTGCGTGTCGTTGTGTGAATGTAAATAGGTGTGGATATGTTCTTCGAACACACACATTCACATGCACACCCACAAACATATCGATATACACACTCACGCATGCACATCCACCCCCCCACCCACTCGATAATCTTTATCAATAAAAGTGAAAATACTTAGTATTTGTGGTAATTTGTCTCACCCTCACCCTCATCAATTTATACAAGTATTTTTCACTGGATGATCTTCCAAGTAGCAGTGAAATTTTATTTCATTTAAAATCGGTTTACAATCTTTATTTTTCAACGTTCACGCTTAAAATTTCTTTCTTCGTTACTAATCATCACTTTTCTTATGCCATAAAAAACACCGTTCCGTGTTTTTACTTGAATATAATTCTTCGAATCACCATTCTTGATAATATTTTCCCATTTGTTATACGAACCAGTATGTGTATCACCTATTCCTTTGAAAGAAATTTTCATGTTTTTTTTCGTGTTATCCCATTCGAATATATATCGTGATACGCCTGCACTCATATATTCACGCGAACGAATGTTCGGCTTTTTTTGATAGGGAACATCAATTGTAAAAATTCCTTCGAGTTCTTTTTTGAGTGCATGCATACGTTGAAGTGCTGGTATAGAGTTAGATGATGGTTCAAAGTCACTCGACAATGTTTCATTTAATTTATGTTGCAAATTATTTTTCTTAATAAGATTTTGCAAGAGATCAATTTTTTCTGCAAAATCATTTAATACATGAGTAGGTTGATCGCCTAAATTGTGATTTGGTGATAATGTTATATGATAATTACTTAATTTTTTCTGTATATTACTCATCATAAATTTCTGATTGCTTTTGTTACCATTTCCACCAAAAACACTTTGTGATATGTAATAACGATGATAACCATTTTCAATCATATTTCGTATGTAAATATCCTTTTCAATAGTTTGAACAACCTTTAATCGAATACTATTTATATCAATAGAATCTTGATTAGTTTCTGCTGCTTTTGTAATAGCATGTATCAAACAATTGTTATCGTTTTGATCAATTTGATTTTCATTTGTTTGTCCTGATGCAATAAAATGACCGAATGTATTTTCTCCATCACCAGGTATAAAATCAATCGAAATACTATTTTCATTATGAATATCGTCGATAGTTTTTCCTTGTGGAAAAATAAAATTCGGACAGTTTTGACCATTAACATTATTTATTCGAATCGGTTTGCCATAGATATGTGCCATTGCTTGAATACAAATCATATCCATTGGACCACCTTCAGCAATGATACTTGCAATTAATTTCGGATTTTTTGTTTTAGCCATGAGAATTAATAGATTCTGATGATATTTATTTTTTATTCTATTTACAATTTCATTTTGATTGATATGTTGTTCTGGATTTTCGGCAAGAGATTCTCGTTGTTTTTCATATGCCTTTTTATTCAATTGAAATTTGTTGAAAAGCGCTTCATCTTTTCGACGTTGATGAAGTCTTTGTATATTTTGTCCTAATCTTCTCAATAGATAATTCGTACTTTCAGATAAAATTGGTTCGATTAATTTTGTTCGAACATCTGTATCAATTATATTTTCTATTTCTTGACTCCATTGTTCAGTCGTCTGTTTAATAAGATTATTCAAATGATCTTCATTGATATCTACTCGTTCGTTTTGGCATTTACTAGCTCTCTCTTTTAAGATTTCAATTTTATCATCAAGAAAGTTTTTTGTTGTACGATCAATCTCAATCATAGTTTTAATGTATGGAGCAGTTTTCATAATCGGACCAAGTATACTTGTCAATAATGTAAATATTGTTGTTGAATTATTCGACGGATTAGCATAATTAATTTTCTTCAAACCATTACTAATCCCATTGGATACAATTCGAGCAATAATTTTGAAATATTCCAATGCTTTTTGATACCATAGCTTGGCATTATGTGATTGACTAATATCTTCTAAGAATTTTCGTGTCACATCTAATCCATGCATTCGAGCAATTTGTTGGATGAATTGATGCATATCTTGTTTTTTCTTTTCGATTGATTGTCTTATGTTAATAAATAACTCATCAACAATTCGACCACAATGATGTTTTAAAATTTTCTCTGAGAGATACGATATTCCCGCATTGGTTGCTCCAAATGCTAAACCTTCAACTAATTTTTTTCCAACACGACACCAAACTTGCTTATGAATGTTAATTGTCACATTTTTCATACTATTCTGACCGACTTGTTTTAATAAACTCTTGCCAGTAAGTCGAGATAAATATTGATTATTACCGAAAATTTTCGATCCAAAACGAGAATATCGAATACCACGCGAAATAACTGCTGATACGCCTAATGTTGCAACTGTAATCGATACACTTCGTATTTTATTTACGAAATAATCATTCCAGTTGAAACAACCATTTTTCATAGCTGAACCTGCATAAATTATATCATTCAAACCTTCAGATATTAAGCCAGCTGCTATATGTGTACCTAAACCAGCTGTATACAATTCAAGATAAACGCCTCCGATTATTTCAAGACAACCAAATAGAAGTATAGTTCCACTACTTAACCACATATTCCAAGTCCATTTTTTCTCTTCAGTATTCATAAGATGATCTAAACCATTGATTCGAAATATATCGAATTCTTGAATATATTCAAATTGCTCATTGCTATTGAAATTTTCTTTGAAATCATTCAAATGAGCATTTGCTTTGGATAAATAATGTAATTTTCCAATTGTACTCTCCAATGATTTGGCAACACTTTTTGCAATCTTTTTATCAATATGACATATTTGTTCAATTAATTTTTCTAATTTTTCTGAATAATCTTTTGTTAAAATACTATCAAATAAGGAAACATCAATGCAACTAGCATCATAATAAACTGGCTTGATAATGAATGCTGTTTCTAAATCATATAAAAGATTTTTATGTAAATCACGTGATAATGTTAAATTATTCATAGAATTTTCTTGAGAATCAATTTGGTTTAATAGATCAAGAATTTGGCTTTGATATAAACATTGATATTTAAGAATTGCTATTATACGTTGATTATAAATTTCATATTTCGAAAATTGTATTGTTTGCAAATTATTTGTACGAAGTTTTCCTGTTTGTTGATCGATCAGATTTTGTTGAGCAAGTTGATCGTAGATTTCCTTCGATTCCGTTCGATTTAAACCTTTGATTTGCATGAAATCATTTGGTGAAATTGATTGAAATTTTTCTATTGATACTTTCCGAAGTTGATCAATATTAATTTCTGCAATTTTACTTAATAGAATAAAATTCTGTTCTTCTAATATTTGATATTGTTTATCGAGAGGTCCTTCTAAACATTGAATATTTTCTGTACTAAATTTCATATTATGAAAAAATAGAATTGATTGATTGTTTGATAATTGCTCAATGGGTTGAAATTGATTTTGATTTAAACGAATAAATTCTTGGAATTTATCATTTGTTTCTGCATTGATCTGATTTCGATTAACAATAATCACATCTCTGACATTTCGAATGATTTGTTTTTCAATCATTAATTGCCAAAACTGATCACGATTTGGCATTTGAACATGATCAAGATATTTTTTCAAATTCATTTCATCGACATATTCGATTTTTAATAGATATCTTCGAAACCCATCGTAATTTAATTGATAATCCATACAAATCTTTTTCAATTGATTTTCATTAAAATTTCTATTGAATTGTTTTCGAATGAAAATCTTTTCATCAGAAATAAGCATTTGGTTATAAATTGACATAGCTAATTTTTCATCGATATCAATATTTACAAATGTATTCGGTGTTATTGGATGGCCACGCATATCATGAATTGAACGAATAAAACACGAATATAAATTACAAAGATTTTCATTTTGTTTTCGATAAGAATCAATGTTAACAAATGATTGATTTGATAAATTAAGACTAGTTAAAATTGAATTACGTGCTATTAACATATCAATATGATAGTTGAATAGATATTCAGCATGATCTAATAAACGATGAAATTCAGTTTTCTCTTCGGTTTTTACTAATTGTGTCTGTTTAATAAGACAATGCGCTTTGTAATAATAAGCTGCATGACTAAACATTGGTTCATTATTAATAACGGTTTGTAAAAGTTGACATGCTTTGTCGTAATTTTTATCTTTAATAAAACATTTGCTTAATTTTATTAATTGATTTGGTTCAATAACAAGTTGATCGATTAATTCATCGAAATTATTAATTTGTTCGAATTGATGACAAAGATTTTCTAATGATTGAAAGATTTCAAGTTTAGCATTCATTTGAAAATTAATATTATCTAACCAAAAAGCCCATTGATTTAATAATGAATTCAATACAATATCTTTCTTTTCGACATTAATTTTCCATTGTTTATCGATTCTTTCTTTTAATCTACTAAATGCTTGATAGTATCGTTCAAATAGATTTTCTTCGAATTGAATTGTTCTCTGATAATATTGAAGAACTTCTCCAATACGATGCATTTCATTAAAATCTCTTTCATTTTTTAAATGAACTACTTCTAATAATGACTCATTGGAATATTCCAAATTGGATTGATCAACAATTATTAGTTGTGCCGAACCGCTTTGACCTTTACGAGCTGTTCTACCGAATGCCTGTTGTTCGATACGATAGTTTTCCGGTAGATAACTTAATATGACATGTAAACCACCATTTTGATTTAATTCTTCACTGATTTTAATATCAGTACCTCGTCCAGCTAAATTCGTTGCAATAATAATTTGTCCAATTTCTAAATATCGATGTTCATTAAATGCAAATTTTTCATAACTTCGCTTGTAAATCAATATTTGATTTGAATCGAAATGATTTTCGGATTGAAATTCTTCACTTAATTGTTCAACATCTTTTATTGTTTGACAAATAATTAAAACTGAACGTGTTTTAGAAATCTTAATTGATTGTTTAATAATTTCATTTTTCCATTCGAATATATCTTTACAAAGTATAGATTGATTTTCTTGAAATTTACTTGAATATGCAACAGGAACTGTGAGAAAATCAACATGATAAATATTTCGTAAAAAATCTCGTTCATATTCAGATCCTAATGTTCCGCTTACACCATAGATATGTTCGTACATATTAAAAAAACTAATGTTCGATATGAAAACAGCTTTTAAACTAAGTAATGATGTTTTACATTGATGTTTCAATTGTAAAAATTGATGTAAACATTCATTCCATTGACTATTGATTTGATCAACACCTGTTTCACAATCGATAATAATTATATTTGGATGTTTATCCAACTGTGTTAGACCTCGATTAGTATCGATAATATAATTTCTTCCTTCTTCCATGTGTAATGCTTGAAATGCACTTTGAATCCATGCAGATAAATGTTTTTCGACGAATGATTTAAGATAATTTGGTATTTGAATTTGTCTATCATGTTGATAGATATCATTTAATAGATATTCCAAATGTTTGACATATTGTTGAAGATTTTGATTTTCATATAAAATTTGACACGAAAGAATCTTTCCATTATAATCAATATTTTGATTTTCGATTAATTCACTCCAGATTTCATCAAGAATATGTTCATCATTCGTTAATTTTGTCAATTCTTGTTTTGTTAGAATCGGATATAAATTATGTAGAACAGCTTTTTCAATATCATCCACTGATGAGTAATTGCCGGTAAGTATATCATTATTAATCATTTGCCAAATAAAAATATAAACTGATTCTAATGTATCAAGAGATGGCAATTGACGTGATAAATATAAAACAGTGTTTCCTTTATCGAGTAACATGGAATCAACTTCGTCAACGAATATATTTGTTCGTTCATTTTGATATCGATTGCCAAGAATATTTTTATTATAAAACCGATCTAAGAGATAATCACGTTGAAAACTCGACAAATCCCCGTAGACAATATCACTTCGATATGCTTGTTCTCGTTGACTCGAATCATCCGATGAATTATGTGAAACAGTTATATCAAACAGTTCATAGAGCTTTTTATATTCATTAGCATCACGCTCAGCTAATATAGGTGAACTTGTTATAATATCACATTGTTCTCCTAATAAACATTTTATAATCATAATCGATACAATTATTAATGATTTGCCTTCGCCTGTTGCCACTTGTGCTAGAAGATTGTTTGAACTTGAAATAAACGATGCTATTGTGAGTTTTTGTGCACAACGAAGCGATGATATTTCAGGAAAAAGAATTGTTATCGCTCTTTCAATCATAGATAGTGGTTCGTGTAGATTCTCTATTTGATATTCGTATGGTTGAGATTTAAATTGAATTAACCATTGTTTGATATCTTCACTTAGTAAATCTTGTTGATTAATATCATTGAATTTATACTGACTAAGTTTATCGAAGAAATTTTTTAATTTATTAATTTGTTCTTTAATTGTTGTATATTTATCTCGATTGATAAGTTCGAATAACTTCTCGAATATTCGTTCATCATTATTACGATGTGATGAATGTTGATCAATGAAAGTTTGATTTTGAATATTTATAATCATTTCTTCTTCAAATTGCCATTGTCCAGAATAAAAATTATAACAAATCATGAGAAGTTGTTCATTATTGAATTGACCTTCTTGAAAAATTTTCAATAAACGATGAACTAAAATTTCTGTTTTATTTTTTAATGTATGTAAATAATAAATTATCGATGATAATTGATCATTATTGAGATTATATTTATCAAGAGATTTATGAACTGTTTCGATAAAATTCCAATGTTGTAATTGTATGGGCCATTGATTTAATGGTAGATCAAGTAATATATCAACATATTCATTGTCTATCAAATGATATTCGACGATTTGTGAAAGTAGTTTGTCAAAATCGAACTTTTCATTCATATCTTCGATTTTCATTATGATTATTTCAATGATTTGTTTAGTTTTAATTGTACGTAATTTCGATCTCCATAGAGGTATTTTTTGACAAGATTCATTTGTTAATCTTTCGAATTTTATTATTGCTAATTCATTTATCCATTCGATTGGAGAATAAGCATTGACAATCCATTGATAAATAGTCAAATCTTCATCATTATTATGTGAATCAATTATTGACAGTGACAATAAAGTTAGAATATCTTGTGTAATACAAGATTTTTCAATATTAAGTCGATTTTTCAATGATTTTAATATGTTTAAATTTGGTAGAAATTTCGATGAAATGGGCGTCAAAGCTAATCGAATAGCTTGTCTTGTATCGATAGGAAAATAATCACTTATTTCACCAATTATTATCTCATCAGCATCATTATCAATAATAATATTTTTCTGTTCATGATATTCAAAAGATTTCTTATTGGAATATTCAATTAATTTATCAAATTCATTTAATTCTTGAATATCATTCAAGACTTGTTTATAATAAAGATATTTGGCAGTCTTATCTTCGACTTTTCTTGTAGATAATCTAATAAATTCATCACCAAGAACGAGCACATGTTGAACATTAGTTGACGTTTTATTATATGTTTGAATTAAATTATATTGATTTCGATTATCATCAGAATGTACGTAAATATTTAGACAAATATCGTTATCATAAGCTAATAGTATGATATCATATTGATTTAAAAAATATTCACTTTGACTAATATAATCACCGTATTCACTAAGAGTATTGTCATCGATATCATATGGTAAATTATCTGCAAGCTCATTATTATCATTCGAATTGCGATGATCTTTTAAAAATTTTTGCATATTTGGAAATTTGTCTTTGTTATCATTTGTTGTTTCGATGAAATAATTAATTGATTGATGTAAATATTTTAATACTTCGACATTTTGACGTACAATTCGATTAAGATTTTCTTTTAAACTATTTCTTAGAGCTTGACATTGACGATATTCAAATATATTGAACTCATTTTGAACACCTAAAGCAGCATGAATTGCTGAATTATTTCCTGGGTAGGTATCTTCTCGAATCCATTCATCGATTATATTCATCAGATTATTATCAATAAACTCAGCTAATTTTTCCAAGACAGATAATTTGAATTTGTTAAGAACTAAAAATTTTAAATTCTCATATTCACTAGAATGAGATTCTTTCACTTGAAGATTTTCAATTAAGCCATGAATTTGTTTCATTTGCTCATAATCATAGACATTACATTTTAATTCATTAATCATATCAAGAATATAATTAAGTGTTTCTTTGTCTTGTTTATGATATAAATTTTGAAAATTTTCCATTGGATTCGAAGAAACAATTTGATGTGATTGAATATTATTTCGATTTTGTCTTAATTTCAAATGTTTTTCATTAAAGAATGGGTTAGTAGTCACAATATTGTCATTTTCAATATGTATTTTGTCCGTTTGACTGTGCAATATTTGTTCTTGTAATAGATTGATATTAATGTTTAAACTTTGAATAGAATTCATTGATAGCTGACATTGATAATCATTAACCATATCTAATAATAACTCATATGCAACAGCACATTGTCTTGTTGCTTTTTGTCTCGATTTTCTTGAACTCTGATAATTTTGCTTCGCCTTTTTATCAATTGTTAAAGATGCTGGAGGCTCTGGTTCGTCTCTGGATTCAATTGCTGTGTATCTTTTTTCATTTTCATACTCTGCATCTCTTATTCTATCAGAAGCTGCTTCTCTATGGGGTACTAATTTCAACCAAGACGGTCCAAAATATTGAGGTTCTGCCCAAAACTGATAATCAATATAGCCAACGTCAGGTTGATTTTCACCAGGTTTACCAGGTTTTCCATCTTGACCTGACTTTCCGTCACACGCTTGCTGTCCATCAGTAGCTAATATGTTAATCTTTGATTCGTCACTCGACCTATTGTGAATTGTAACATCTCCTGCATAGCCAGGTTCACCTGCATATCCACCTGAACCTCCAAAACCACCAGGATGGCCAGGTTCTCCACATATTCCTTCAACAAAACAGTAACTTGAGCAGCCACTTAAGTCCGATCGATAAAATGAGAAATATATTCGATTTCCAAATTTTGTTTTCCCCTCAATATAACAAGCTTTTATCCATGGATCATGACGGTTCATGTTATCGCGATAAATTTCTGTTGACATACGTCGTATAAGGCCGTACGTTGTTGCCACGTTTGCGTCTGCTTCTACTCCAATTAATTTCGACGTCGGTGGAAATTTTTTTTTGAATTCGTCTAATGTCAATTTAACACCATCTTTGCCATCTTCACCATCTGCACCATCACCACCATCTTGTCCATAACTGCCATTTCCACCATTCGATTTAATCGTTAAATTATCTTCATATTCAATTGTTACCGATCTTATTGTTACATTTCCTCCACTTTCACCTTTTGTACCATTTTGGCCATGTTGACCGTTCTTATTTCCGTTCATTTCACCATTATTTGCTTTTGATGGACGAGTTTGAGGTTCACCAGGTAATCCTGAAACATTGATTGTTCTCTTTCCAATGATTATAATTCGTTTGGCATGTATTGCTAAATTTTTTCCATGCCATGCTTCATTTTCAAAGTCATAATCAAGAAATAAATTTTCCAATGCAATTAAATAAATATCAGTTGACTTTGATTCGATTAACATTTCATGTAATTTTGAAGATATTGAGCTTAAAACAATATGAACACCACATATTACAAGAATATTTTGTCTTTTATCAATATATTTTTTAGCAATTACTGAGGCTAAATTATAAGAATTCATATTACTGATTTCCTTCGTATAACTTTCAGTTAAATTTGTTTGATTCAACTCTTTGACACGTTTAGATAAATTTCGAATGTTTGAAATATATTTAATAATAGTTTTCAACACATCGCTAGATACTATCTGTGAGTTGAAGAACTTCATCCATAGGTCGTTTTTACTATCGGCATTGATAAAGATATGGGAAAGTTCGTCTTTAATATTTTTCCCGGACAAAGATTCATTTTCATTAATAAGTTTATGAAATTCATAATTCGAAAAGAAATTTTCGATTTCATCTTTTGTTTTATTCAATAATTCATTTTGTTGTTCGATCGTTTGTTTACAATAATTTAAAATATGTTGTTTAACTTGATTTAAAATATAATCACAATCATTTCTCAGAAGCAAATGATTATTTTCAATAATCAATTGAAAATGTCCTGTACTAAGATTTAACAAAGCTACGTCTTCCATTGTTTTTGCTTTTGCGAGATTTTCAATTAAATTATCCATATCATTTTGCTTGAATTTTTTCAATATCTCAGGTAATTCTTCGAACCATCCTTCCAAACAATATTTCACATATTTATACTCGATATAATTTTCTTCGATGTTATTCAAAGAATTTCGCTTTAGTTCTTCACGTATATATGCTTTTGTTTCATTCAAACTTGATTGCATTCCAATTTTGCATTTAATATATTCGTTAATTGTGTGATTGTCGTCGTTCATCGTATTGATTATGTTAATAATCTAAAGATTGACATGAATATAAAAAAAAAATGCATCAACGTTCTTGTACGAGTATTTGATTTTACAGTTATTTATAAAGAAAAATTTTTCTCGTACATATAGATCACTGCTTTTGCTTTAAATAGAGTATCAATAAGAAAAAAAAAGCTACAACTTTCTAATTACAATCTGTTCACATTTAGATATTGCTGAGAAGTAATTTTTAAAATCAAAAAACTTCATGCAATCTTGACGATGCGAGTGTTAGATGACAAGAGATATTAGAGAGTTTAACTGAAAAAACTTGCCAAAGCAAAAACAATGGAAGACTTAGCTTTGGTAAATCNAGGTTTCTGGGGGGAAGAGGGGGGTAGTACAAGCGAATACATACGAATACATACGAGTACATACGGGTACAGATGTATCGTCTGTGTTAGTAGCGGAGCTTTCATCCTCTATGTAAATTGGCGAGTACAAGTTGTATCCGTACTTGCGCAGCTATGGCTAAGAAGTAATTTTTAAAATCAAAAAACTTCATGCAATCTTGACGATGCGAGTGTTAGATGACAAGAGATATTAGAGAGTTTAGCTGAAAAAACTTGCCAAACAGCCACCGAGAAGTGCGCATCGAACTTTTATTCTATTTAGATAATTTCCTTAACTTCGTTTTGCACACTAAATCCTTCTCCATCCACTGGTTTCCAAGTCTCCTCTGAGGTTAGTAACATGTTTAACATATTCGAAGTCCTCTGGTTTTTCGGAGCATATTATGAAATTTTTCGAACTTTGGGGTAAAAATTCGACTGACTTCTATCTAGTTGTACAAAACACTAAAGATGTTGTCGAAAAACTTCCGAATAGTTTTTGCTGTCCTAATCAATTAAATTTTTACGGGGTTTAGTAGAAAGCTTCTCCGAAAATGCTAAACACTCGGTATGCGAGAAGCCCTTGGGGATTATTATTATGAATGTGAGGGAATGGATTTAGAGTAAACACACTATACGAATGTGTTTCTTTGAACAGATAAAACGTTTGTAGGCAGTCGATACATTTATCCATATTTTACGAAATATGTTTTTCTCTTTCGAACTAAACAGCATTTATATAACTTTTACTTTCGAGCATATAAAGTGTTCGATGTTTTTACAGTGAGCAATCGATACTAATTGGGTTTTTCCTCTACAATAATACAGTATGATTCAAGGGGGAAAGCGTTACTTTTTGGTTGTCACACTTTTGGAAGTACGACGGAAGTGCAACGCGAATATCACGAGAGTATGCACTACTGTGATTTCGCTTTTCCACCCTTGGTGTGATTACAGGTGATTCATATAAATTTCCTATACACTGGTTTATTTGATTTCAATCTGAATTTTGCAAAAAAAAACATTCAATCTAGAATTGAAATGCGGTATTGCGGGTCTAAAACAGTGGCGGAGTCAGGGGGCTAGAAGAGGCTCAGCTCCCCCCCCCCAGCGAGATTTTAGAAAATGCATTTTTTTATATAAATGTGTATAAATGTTTCCAGTTTAACGTTTTAACAAGTGTTGCCAGGTAGCGAACTCAAAAACCCAGAAAAAGTGAGAAAAACTTTTAGAATCCCAAAAAAATCCAGAAAAATGTTGAAAATCCCCATAAAATCCGGAAATAATCCAGCAAAATATTTTAAATTCCCCAAAAAAATCCAGAAAAGCTTCCAAAATTTTCAAAATCCCTAACAAACTGCAAAAAGACTTTCAAAATTCGGGGAAAATCCAGAAGAATTGTCAAGATCCGAAAGATCTGTCAAAATTGTTCCTAAAGCACGCTTTTAAAAGTGGTTCGTCGCCCCCAATTGTTGGATGTGCGCGACACCTCTGAGTGACTGAGCCCCCTCTAGCCCAAAATCCTGGTTTCGCCACTGGTCTAAAGGTATACGTCATCATATATAAATATAATTCACGAAAAACTACTAAGTTGCTTAAAAAACTTAATGTTCCAAAACAGAATGTTAGGACTTTGTACTCGGAAATGTCATTCCCCAAACCGAATATTTGCATTGTAACCCCGAAAATGTCATCATTGTGTTATGAGAATGTCACTTTCAGGTTCGAAGTCCAATTGTCCTGTTTTGAGAATCGTATTTTCGAATGCAAAGTCCAAATGTTGTGTTTTGCGACAAAAGCATCATTGAGCAGTTTAGTAGTTTTGAGAAATATTTTGCAAAATATAGATGTGTCGGTGAGCTCCAAATTTGGAGTTTACACTGTTTGGAGCTCATTTTTCTGACCATCTGTTGTACATGTAAGAGTCACTACAATTAAGACTATCGATTACAGATCCTGAGTACTTTGAATAAAGTTTTCTTGAATTTACTTTATTCTAATTAAGTTGAAAGCTAACTGTACGTACATATTGAGTGATATTAAAGTGTGCGAGTTTGGTTTGTATGTTGGCAACCTGTTCCGCTTCATCTTTATCGTTGGGAAAATTACTTGGTTTTTTTCCACATAAACATGTTCACATCAACCAACGAATCATGCCATTTTCATCAAACAGGCATTTTTTTTTCATCAATGTGCTTATCATTAATTACATCGATTTCATACTTTCAAGGTTCTTCTTTCTTTTTGCTTTTCTATGTGCTTCGTGCTGTTACGATGTGAAAATAATTATTAATATTTATATATAAGTGAATCCGTAGGATGAGTGCTCCCTTGTTTCATTAGAGTATTACTCACTAAAATGTTGTTTTTTTCATTTTTGTAACAGAAGAATATATGAATAATCGTTATGCATGAGTGGGGAAGCATTTTATTTTTACCTACGTAATTGACAGAAAAAAAATTGGGATTGAGAAGAGCAAGAAAGAAGATAAGAAATGAAAAGCATATAAGGGACAAGTACAGACGATGCTTTCTTACATTTCGAATACAAACAGCACAATCACAACCGTACGAAAAGTAAATTACATTTGTATTAGAAGGTAAGCGTTACTTCTAACAGCACAAATATTTCTCTCAATCTTAATTACAAGTAAATGTTCTTCTTAATCTTAATAATAATGAGATACCATCAACGGTGAGAGACAAAATCATCTCTTTTGTGTCCCAAGGCTATTAAAGAAGTGTATATTTTATTTCTCTATGCTGAATCATAAAGGGTAGAATGAAATTTCAACATGAGAGTATTCTTATTGTCGAAATTTCACATCGAAAACGTTTCCGTTCTATCTTAGAGGTAGACTAACAAAGAAGTATATAGATGTAATATTACTTTCATCTATCAGATCTAGTATAAGAAAAGTTTGGTCTTCAGGTAATTAATATTTTCTTTTGAATTTTTAGAATACTCCAAGTCGCCAATTATACAGACAGCAATGGGTAAACATTTTAAGTGTCCAAAGTGTCCCGCGAAATGTAATAAAAATCATGCGGACGACGATGAATGTTTTCATTGTGATCAACTTTGTAATAGAAAAAACAAACATAAACCCAGGTGTGAACGCTGTAATAATGAAATTCGTGCTCGTATGAAATGCCTGGGTGATGTATGTTTAGCTACTGATGATAGTTGTGGTATTTATATATGTACTTTCAACAACTGTCGTGGAGTTTTTTTGTTACGATTGCTGCATGAAGCCTTAAGCATAACTGTAAAACATCATGTTACATTTCGGATTATAAAATCCTTAGAAAATGTTACATGACAATCTACATATAAAAAAGCTAAATTTTTATGTAATCAATTTAAAAAAATAAACCTGAAGCTGAAAACAGCTACCTTCACGTATAGATTTCAATGTGGCAACGCACATCATCAGATGCCAAACAATCTTGTAGATTTAATAATAAAATCAAAAGATCAAGTTATCACTGTTGTATGATTTTAATGTAGAAAATTGAAAGAATATATAATGAGAAGATCATTTCACTTGAGAGCGAATCGTGGAATGTCAAGATCCAGATTTTCTCCGCTATACTTCTTGAAATAATTTGATTCTAAAAGTAAATAATAATATCAAGGAGGCAGTGGCGGAGCCAGCGGGCTAGGGGAGCTCAGCCCCCCCCCCCCCCAGCGAGATTTTAGAAAATGCATTTTTTTATATAAATGTGTATAAATGTTTCCAGTTTAACGTTTTAACAAGTGTTGCCAGGTAGCGAACTCAAAAACCCTGAAAAAGTGAGAAAAACTTTTAGAATCCCAAAAAAATCCAGAAAAATGTTGAAAATCCCCATAAAATCCGGAAATAATCCAGCAAAATATTTTAAAT